TCACATTCAATGGTACTGGAGATTAGGACTGTAGTTTTTTCTTTTTAATGGAGATATAACTGGGATATAACATTGTATAAATTTAAGGTTTAAAACATGTTGATTTGATACATTTATATATTGCAATAAGACTGCTGCTATAGCATTAGCTAACACCCTTATCATGTCACATACGTATTTCTTTTTGTGTGGTGGGAACGTTGAAGATCTAGTCTCTTAGCAACTTTGATGTCTATAATGCAATGTTGTTTTCTGTAATTACTACACCATGCACTAGATTTCCAGGACTCATTTATCTATTGGTTGTAAGTTTGTATGTACCTTTATTCGACATCTCCCCAATGCCCCAACCTCCCACCCCCTGGTTACTACCATTGTACATTTTGTCATTGAGATAATTTCCTTAGGTACTCTGTATTTTCAGATAAGAATGGGGAAGAATTGGGGAGGAAAAGAAAATTGAAATGAATCTTCCAGGAAACCCAGACTTTCAGTTTTAGCAGAATGATGGGTAAGAAGTAGAACAGCACAAGGAAAAATAAGTCGCTTAGGGGTTTCAGCTATAAAAAGACTTAGAGAGGGGATGGAGAGCTCAGTCCTTTTCTTCCTAGACAGGTATGTCTGATTTTAAACCACAGAGTGTCTAGGGTTGAATTGGTAGGATACAAGAAACTTCTTAGATGAAACCTCTACCTTCATAGAATCTAAGGCAGTTCAACTGCAGCCAAAAACAACGAAATGCAGGGATGAGATCAAAGATCAAAGAGCTCTCATTGGCCACCAAAAAAAAAAAAAAAAAAAAGCTGGAAGCAGAGATATAAACTTGGCTGATGTCTCCAAATATTTGGAAATCAGATAGTCCATCTATAGAACAGATCTCCAAAACCATCCTAGTTCTAAGATCCCATGTCTTCTTGAATAGCAAATTCTCAAGCTTGGTCTCAAAACAGTTGAGACTGTAGTGAACTGAATTATGATAATACCATAACAAATGACAGAGTTAACTGCACAGCATAGAAAGCAAGACTGTAAAACTCTGAAAAGATAACATAAGAGAAACCCTAAATGATCTCATGTATGGTGATGCTTTTTTATATACAACACCTAAGATATGTCCATGAAAGAAATGATTGATAAGTTGGATTTCATTGATATTCAAAACTTCACCTCCACAAAGGACAATGTCAAGTGAATGCAAAGACAAGCTAGAGACAGGGAAAAGTATTTGCACAAGACACATCTGATAAAAGACTGTTATCCAAAATATACAAGGAAGTCTTAAAACTCAATGATAAAAAAAAAAAAAAACATAATTTAAAAACAGGCTACACACCTTGATAGACACGTCAACAAAGAAGATATACAGAGGGCAAATCAAATATTGAAAGATACCCTACATTGTAAGTCATTCAGGAAATGCAAATTAAAAGAGATGCCAGTATACACCTATTAGAATGACCAAAATCTGGAACACTGACATCTCGTGCTGGGAAGGCTATGGTGCAACAGAAAGTCTCACATTGCTGCTGGGAATTATGGTGGAGCCACTTTGGAAGACAGTTTGGCACTTTCTTAACAAAACCAAATATATTCTTACCATACAGTGCAGCAACCATACTCTCTGGTATTTACCCAAAGGAGTTAAAAACATATATCCACACGAGAGGCTATACACAGTTTTGAAGAGCAGCTTAATTCAGAATTGTCAAAACTTGGAAGCAACCAGGTGTCCTTTAGTAGATGGATGGATAAATGAACTTTAGTACATACAGAAAGTGGCATAATATTCACTGCTAAAATTAAGTGAACTAGTAAGCCATGAAAAGACATGGAGGAAGGTATTACTGAAGCATATTATTAAGTGAAAGAAGTCAATCTGAAAAAGCTACATACTATATAATTCCAACTATATGAATTTAAAAAAAAGGCAGAATTATGGAGACAGTAAAAAAAGAAAAAGAAAGTGGCTGCCAGGGATGAGCCAGGGGAAGATGAATAGCCAGAGTGCAGAGGCCTTTCAGGGCAGTGAAAATGCTCTGTATATACTGCAATCGTGGACATTTGTACGTTTGTCCAAGCCTATAGAATGAATGTACGACACCAGGAGTGAACCCAATGTAGACTATGAACTTTGGGCGATTATGATGTGTCAAAGTTGATACACTGATTGCAGCAAATGTTCCATTCTTGTGGGAATGTTGTTAATGGAGAAGCCTGTGTATGTGTGGGAGCATTTGGTTTAGAGGAAATCGCTGTACTTCCCTCTCATTTTTGTTGTAATCCTGAAACTGTTCTAAAAAATGAAGCTCTGAAAAGTTTGTTAAACTTTTCAAAGATAGACTGGTTTCTCTCTACCCCAATTTATGCCAGATAGGTCCTCTTATTTACTTTTCTGTTTGGGTGGGGACGTTAGAGGACATCTATGGAGCTCTTCCCTTTCATCAAAGACTATTACTTTCTGGAATATAGTTACTGAAAGTTTATATCCTCATTTTGATGTTATTAAAAAAAAAAAGCAAGCAGTGAGTGTCCAGCTCATCTAGCTTATTTGATTACTAGGGTGCAAATTATGTAGGGTTGGTTTTTGTTTGATTCTTTTGTAGCTTTTAATATCCATACCAGAAGCACTATTTATAAACAGATTAAAACACAACAGAAATGTTTTATAAAAATATCTACCCACAGACATACCATTTCTGTTGTTTTTCATCATTTTGTAAAGATTCAAGTTTCCAACTGATACGATTTTCCATCAACCTGAAGAGATTTCCTTTATATTTTCTTATAGTGCAGTTCTTATAGTAATGGAATTTTCAGTTTGTTTGTCTCAAAATGTTTTTATTTTACCTTCATTTCTTGTGAATATGTAAGTTCCCACCCAGAGTGACTCTTTTCTTGAAGTGCTTGCAATTTCCAAAAAGAAATCAATGAAGAGTCAGCCATTATTTTTATTTTGTTCAGTTTATTTTCTTGTAATGTGCCTTATTTCTGTGCTGCTTTTAAGATCATTGCTTTTTTCTTTGGTTATCTGCAATTTGATTATAATGTGTCCTGGTATGATTTTCCTTTTTTTTGAACTTGGATTTATTGATTGCTTTTTATTAGAAATGTGAAAAATATTTGCCTTTATGTCTACTTTATGTCTACTTTAAAGCCTTCTTCTGATGTTCCAATTATATGCTTATTAATATTTTTGACTTCTTAATATTCTTTCACAGATCACCGAGTTTTTGTTCATTTTATCCCTCCATCTTCCCCCCACCTCTCCAGTGTTTCAGTATTGCCCTGTTTCTACCTATAGGATTACTGAAGTTCTTTCTTCAGATAACGCTCTTCTTTCTGCTGTTCTGTCTCATAAATTCAAGCCACTGAAGACTCTCTGCACTCCAGTCCATCCTCTTGTCCATCCACAAGTCTCCTTGTCTTCCTTCCTGTGCTATGCTTTGAAAAGGGTCTCCAGGAGCAATGATAGGGTTCATTCATTTTTTTATTTGCTTTTCTCAAGGATCACCATTCTGTGCTTTTTTTTTCCAGTATGTGAAAACTATATATATATATAGTTCTTTTATATATATATAGTACTTATATATATGTAATAAGTACTATATATATAGTACTTATATACTTACATATATATAGTACCTATATATATGTATATATATCTAAATATATATGTCTAAATACATATATGTCTCTCTCTCTCTCTCTCTCTCTCTATATATATATATATATATATATATATATATATATATATATATTTGTACTTAACATTGCTGCTTATTGTGGACAGGCTAGTTTAGTGCCAGTTATTCCATCATAAAGAGAAGAGTAAGACTACTTCATTTGTTGAGCTTGACAATTCTTATACATTACAACCACATTGAATGTGACATAAAATAGGCATAAGATAAATCAAACCTATATGAATATGTTTTATTTAGAAAAGTTGGTACATTATTTTCAGAATAATTCCATATTTTATATCTTCATCAGTTAAAAATTTGATTTTTTTCTAGCTGTTTTCCTTGGCATTTAAAACCGCATGTAACTTATGAAAACTTTTAATTGCATATGTATTAGTATTTTAATTTTTGATGATTAATTTCAAGAACAAATATTTCAGATCAAACTGGGAAATGAGAGTATCAAGATATTTTAAAAATTATATTTGGGTAAATTTGGTACATTAAGATTTTAAAAGAAAAAGTGGAATTATAGCATCTTTTGGGACTCACTGTCAAGAATTTTGATGACTACTTTTCATAAATTATCTTCAAAAATCCAATTTTATATTGAATAAACTATTCTAATATTTAAGGAGCTCAGAGTATTTGTGGTAAATTTTTAGCCCTTTTATTTTTGAGAACCTTTATTTGCGGTTAGATTGTGAAGGTTATACTATGTTCAAGATGGTTTGTAAAGATAAGTAAAGTTTAATTAATGATTAATTACTTTCAAATATGTTACAAAGTTAACAATAACAAATGCTGTCTTTTATTGTTTCTATTCTGTAAATTGAAATGCTTACAAATCCTTAAATATATCTTTGAAACTTATAAGATGGTTTTTCAGGGTTATGGGGAAGTTTCTTAACTCCTACCCTCCAGTCTGAGCTGAATGTCACTTTGTTGTACATCAAGGAATACCCTGGACATATTTCAAAAATAGCACATAATTTACAGAATTGTAATAATCTATTGGCTTCTTTGTTTTCTCCATTTGATTTAAAATCCCATGAGGCAATGAATGGTATATTTTTCATCCTAGTGTCAATTATAGCCTACAATACAGAGTGGATATTTTATACTTGTTTGTTAAGTAAACAAATGAGTAAATCATTTCTGTATTGCAGATGTATGTTGGCAAATTGAACACCAATAAAAAATAAATTTGTTATTAAAAAATAAAATAAAATAAATAAAAAGGATTATTACAGCAGGAATATGAACTTTAGAGAAATGACTGGATGCTAACACTACATTTTGTATCTTTTCTTACAGGCTATTAAATCTGATCTACAATGGAAAAATTTCTTTTTTATCTGTTTTTCATTGGCATAGCAGTGAGAGCTCAGATCTGTCCAAAGCGTTGTGTCTGTCAGATTTTGTCTCCTAATCTCGCAACCCTTTGTGCCAAGAAAGGGCTTTTATTTGTTCCACCAAACATTGACAGAAGAACTGTGGAACTGCGGTTGGCAGACAATTTTGTTACGAATATTAAAAGGAAAGATTTTGCCAATATGACCAGCTTGGTGGACCTGACGCTATCCAGGAATACGATAAGTTTTATTACACCTCATGCTTTTGCTGACTTACGAAATTTGAGGGCATTGCATTTGAATAGCAACAGATTGACTAAAATTACAAATGATATGTTCAGTGGGCTTTCCAATCTCCATCATTTGATACTGAACAACAATCAACTGACTTTAATTTCTTCTACAGCATTTGATGATGTCTTTGCCCTTGAGGAGCTGGATCTGTCCTACAATAATTTAGAAACGATTCCCTGGGATGCTGTTGAGAAGATGGTTAGCTTGCACACCCTTAGTTTGGATCACAATATGATTGATAACATTCCTAAGGGGACATTCTCCCACTTGCACAAAATGACTCGGCTAGATGTAACATCAAATAAATTGCAGAAGCTACCACCTGATCCTCTCTTTCAGCGAGCTCAGGTACTAGCAACCTCAGGAATAATCAGCCCATCAACTTTTGCGTTAAGTTTTGGTGGAAACCCTTTGCATTGCAATTGTGAATTGTTGTGGTTGAGGCGTCTGTCCAGAGAAGATGACCTAGAGACTTGTGCTTCTCCAGCACTTTTAACTGGCCGCTATTTTTGGTCAATTCCTGAGGAAGAGTTTTTATGTGAGCCTCCTCTCATTACTCGTCATACACATGAAATGAGAGTCCTGGAAGGTCAAAGGGCAACTCTGAGGTGCAAAGCCAGGGGAGACCCTGAACCTGCAATTCACTGGATTTCTCCGGAAGGAAAGCTGATTTCAAATGCAACAAGATCTCTGGTGTATGACAACGGGACACTTGATATTCTTATAACAACTGTAAAGGATACAGGTGCTTTTACCTGCATTGCTTCCAATCCTGCTGGGGAAGCAACACAAACAGTGGATCTTCATATAATTAAGCTCCCTCACTTACTAAACAGTACAAACCATATCCATGAGCCTGATCCTGGTTCTTCAGATATCTCAACTTCTACTAAGTCAGGTTCTAATGCAAGCAGTAGTAATGGTGATACTAAAATGAGTCAAGATAAAATTGTAGTAGCAGAAGCAACATCATCTACTGCACTACTTAAATTTAATTTTCAAAGGAATATTCCTGGGATACGTATGTTCCAAATCCAGTACAATGGTACTTATGATGACACTCTTGTTTACAGGTAAGAGAAATTAACCTAATGTTTATATTTGCCATGCATATTAATCTAGGGTTTCTTCATGTACTACTGACTTGTTTTTTTTTTTAATTGGCAGTGCTACTGTGTGTTCTAATTACAGCACTCCATTTTTGTTAAAGTGTACAATGTAAGGTTTGTGAAAGGTGATTACCTGTGGGGAAATATTTTGAATGGTGTTATTTTTAGAGAGTTCAAATTTATATTTAATATTATGCTTACTTACCTTTTTCCCCTTCATCTAAGAGATGTGACTATCAGAGAATAAGATTGATTTATTTTAAAAACTCAAAAACATACCAGAATTTACACATCCACATGAGTGTTCTTTCCTTCAAGGAAGTCACGTTGGGAGGCTATTCCATTATCCCAATGATGCTGGCATTGCTCAAAGCACTTTTGGAATTATCTTTAGAATCTTCGTCACACTATTTTGAATATCCTCAGTGGTGGCAAATCTTCGTCTTTTGAGGGTGAATTTGAATTTTGGAAACAAGCAAAAGCCATATGGAGCCAAGTCTTATGAATAAGGTGGGTGATCAAGATGGGTATTGCCATTTTTGGTCAAAAATAGGATGTAACTATAAAATAATGAGACTGATTTTTTTGAGTGATTGAGTTATATGCATGTGTATTGTTTCATATACACTGGTTCTTAAGACAGTTCCAAAGAGAAAGTTGATAAATATTTTGAGCAGTGAAAGTATCACTGGAGTTAAGTACATAATCTCCTCATAAGGACTTTGATGGAGAATTTCAATCTGATTATAGATTTTCTGGTATGTTTTTCTAAAGTTCAGCCTCATTGATTTATAGTCACATCTTGTCCAATTTCAATTGGAAATATACATTTTTACTTCTCCATATAATTTCACTCATGATAGACTATTATTACTCCTAGGAAATGATGCAAACTCATGGTTTTGAAATATACTTATATATTTTTTGTCTTGAAGCTTCTCTGAAATAAGATTAACTCAATTTTATATACCCAGGTGAATTCTTGAAGATAATTTGATTTTCACTCATGTATGGAAATGAGAGAACTGTTTAAAAATGAGCATGGGCTAGTGGAAAAGACAAAACTGGCCCAGCTAGCCATATGATCCATCCTGGGCAAAGTTCTACCTGACTGGGTTTTAATTTTCTCATCTTTAAAAGCAACCGATTAAAGTAAATTATTTCTAATATCCCTCTCATCACTAAACATATGATCATGTAAACTATGATGCATGCATATTAGCATAAAGTAGTTTGTCCTTCTCATACTCAGCTCTTTACCTGGGCTATCCATTATTTAACCTTTTGTCAAAGAAGAATATGTGCTTCTACCCCTCACCTTCATGTAGCTACTAACATTTTATTTTGTTTTATTTTATTTTATTTTTTATTTTATTGTTTTATATATATGTGTAAATAGGTCAGCTTTTACTTTCCAAATTATATGATTCTCATCTTGCCATGATAAGTAAATTCTATGTGACCTTCAGAAAATTGCTTGAATTTCCTGACTTCAGTGTTTGTCATGAATAAAATAGTAATGCCTACAGTAACTGTAAGAATAAAATTATAGTGTTCCAGAAAAAAAAGAATAAAATTATAGTATATATAATGTGCTTAGTAATGCCTGCTGTTTATCATGCACTAAAGATAGTGATTTTAATCACAAATACATACTCTAGCCTGTTTCCTAGTTTATTTAGAACACATCTAGGTTGTATAATGGATTAGCATTGCCAAGTTTTAAAATTTCCTAAAACATTCTTTCAGGGAAAACATATAGTTTCAAGAATTACTTTTCTAAATGAAATCGTAGTTTAGGTCATATTTGATTGCTACTTAAAAAGAAATGGGAAAAAAGCATCCGTGGAAGAGTTTTGTGATATAATGGACTCAGAGGTATCTATAAACTTTTATCAAACTTTAGCAACTATTCTGAAGGTAATTTCATCAACCCACAATGGGTAGGATGATGGATTTATGCTCTGGTCAACAGCCTTGCCCTGTTTATGTTTTTAGGATAATATTCCTCATACATTTTCATCAACCTCATTTTTAGATAGAAACATACTGGAAGCCACATGTTGAAGACATTAGAGAAGGCTGAGATCTGTAAATAAAGTACTTTAATCATAGTAATTAGTGGAGTTATTAAAGATAGGTTTACTGGTACCATTCCATAGCAGCTTAAAACTGACTTGGAAAACAAATACTCTGATGCCTTTCCATTCTGGTTTCTAATGTGATTGTCAGTGTTTTCCCTTCCTTCAAATTGGCTTTTAGTCACAGAGGTGTTGTAAGTGCTAAATGGATTTGTTTAGTAGTCAGATAATGTCACAGTCACACCTTTCAAAAGCAATTTGTCATAAATGATTTTTTAGCCATGGCTTTTATTAGGAGGTCTGCTTTGCCAGGCAATGTAATTAGTAAGCTTGTCAAGGCCTGGTGCAGGCACCATTAATACAATGTAGAATCCAACAATGACTTTTAGCCATTTTACATAGGTAAATATAAGATTAGATCATTTTCCCGTATTTTGTATCTGTTATAAATGTGCTTATCTTAATGAGTACTGAAATGAAACAGAACTGAAGTCATAATGGCTCTGTGTGTATATATATATATATATATATATATGTCTTATTTTTAATATTAACACAAACTCCATTGTCCCTCAGAATGATACCTCCTACGAGCAAAACTTTTCTTGTCAATAACCTGGCTGCTGGAACTATGTATGACTTGTGTGTCTTGGCAATATATGATGATGGCATCACTTCCCTCACTGCCACCAGAGTCGTGGGTTGCATCCAGTTTACGACGGAACAGGATTATGTGCGATGCCATTTCATGCAGTCCCAGTTTTTGGGAGGCACCATGATCATTATTATTGGTGGAATAATTGTAGCATCTGTGCTCGTTTTCATCATCATTCTAATGATCCGGTATAAGGTTTGTAACAATAATGGGCAACACAAGGTCACCAAGGTCAGCAATGTCTACTCTCAAACTAATGGGGCTCAGATACAAGGCTGCAGTGTGACGCTGCCCCAGTCCATGTCCAAACAAGCTGTGGGACATGAAGAGAATGCCCAGTGTTGTAAAGTTGCCAATGACAATGTGATACAATCTTCAGAAACTTGTTCAAGTCAGGACTCCTCTACCACTACCTCTGCTTTGCCTCCTACCTGGACTTCAAATGCTTCTGTGTCCCAAAAGCAGAAAAGAAAGACTGGCACAAAGCCAAGTGCTGAACCACAGAATGAAGCGGTCACAAATATTGAGTCCCAAAACACTAACAGGAACAACTCCACTGCATTGCAGTTAGCTAGTCGACCTCCTGATTCTGTCACAGAGGGGCCCACATCTAAAAGAGCACACTCAAAGCCAAGTAAGTTTCTCACTTTGCCTGCTGAGAGATCCAGAGCGAGGCACAGGTACTCCCTGAATGGAGAATTAAAGGAATACTATTGTTATATTAACTCACTGAACATATGTGGACGGTCTAAAAGAAGCATGTCTATGAATGCGATGTTAATTCAATCCAACAGTTCTGATGGGCATAGTGGAAAAGCAACTCTTTCCGATTCTGAGTGGATATTGGAAAGCACTGTGTAACCTATTATTTCTTTTTAATGAAGAAATTACTTTGAAAACTCATATAAGAAATTGGAATTTGAAATTCCAGTTTTGTTTCTCTGATACATGCCTCATAGAGCCAAGGTGTATAAACCTTCTAGGTATAGTTTAATATATGAAGGTGTCATATATAAAATGGTCTGGGGATAAAAACATGACATAGCAGCAGTGCCTCTTCCCATTCTAGGGCTGGCTTCCAGGTTCTACAATAGCAAAATGCGAAATAAAGTTTCTCACCAGGTAAAAATGTCTTGCATAAATCATGCTATTTCCTCCAGTCTTAAAAAGGACCACCTAAACTGATGAGTATTTTTCAGTGAGTATATTGCATATTTTCTTTCAAGGACCGTAGTGTTTGTTTTCAGGCAGATATCAAAAAGGACAACTCTGTGTTCTTATGGTATTTAAAATGAAATATTCAGTAAGTATATCCAGACAGTGTTAAAATAAGTACCCTTCTAAACAACTTTCTTGGTTCAGGTGCCTTAATGGATTTATGGTAGTTCTCATTCATGACTTAGCTTCTTTGATGGGAAGCAAAAGAATATTCAAGTGATTTTGCACTTATCAAAAAAAAAAAAAAAAGAAAAAGAAAATCTAGTTCGGTTTTAGTCACAGGTCAGAATTTTATAAGCTGCTACCTGCTACCCTGGGCATGTGAGGGTGTTTTCATTCATTCAGTATACAGTTGCAGAATGAATGAATGTTATATTTTTCTTTATGGAAATTAAAAAGGGAGACAGAAATACAAGACATTATCAAAGGGATGTTTATTTTTATCACTAAATAAAATGAAAAGAATACTTCTAGTGGGATTCTTACTACGTTTATAAGCAATATAAAGTCATTGCTCATTAACCAGGTAGTGATTTCATTTTTCCCTTCTGCCTATAATTCTCAGTTGGAATGTTTCTTTGTTAGACTGAATGCGTTTATTTTAACCAAAACCTGTGATGAAATTTAATTAGAAATCATTCAGCTTAGTGATAATCTATTATAAATTTTTTAAAATTTAGTCAGACAATAGTATTGCTCTTTGATATATGGCATTCTTGGACATCCACTGAAATCGAGGTATATAGATAAATGTTCCTATGTACTTATTGAAAATCTTATATGGCAACTTGATGGTGTTTTATTAAAGACTGGTAAATGGGGGTTAACATTAGGGCATTCTTTGGTGTTTGGGGAGGGATGTTGAAAATAAGCTTCCAGTGAGAATCTTGTACACACAAAAAATTTAGCCATAATATAATAAGGTATGTACTTTATATATATAACATACTCCATGGGAGTAAGTTTTAGTATATATGCTGCCAAAGCAAGCACATGGGAGTAAGTTAAACACACAGTAAGTTTGTTATTATCTTAAAGATCACTTGAAATATCATTAAAACACAGATAAGGAATGGTAGTCATTAGTTTAATTTTTTTCTACTAGAGGCATATATAAACATTTCAGTTAATTTTAACTTTACAGAGACACATCTTATATACACTTTTATGATGATATTCAGAAGCAGGTAAAATTAAAGCAGTTAGAGATTATTTTCCATGCCAGTCTTGAAACAAATGATCTAATGGGCTAATGTTATCTTAGATTCATAAATGCCTTCTCTGCCCTGGTTCCTTTTCTGAAGTTTGCCTTTCACAGGTCAAATGTATAGTTCTCTTGAGGAATAAATGAGATTACACGTGTGGTCATGTTTTGTAAAATCAAAAGCATTACACAGAGTAAAATGTATCTTCAACATTTTCTGTGATAATGCTCTAGTCCCGATTAAACATTTCTAGTTAACATCAATTACTTAATTCTTCAAAAGGTGCTGATGCAAAAGCATATTGCTTTTCCCTTTCCTAGTTTTTACCTATATAGTATTAAAAAGTCCCAAATGTAGAACTGCTTTTGAGATTTAAATAGATGAATCCCCAGAGAAAAAAACCTCTGGCCTTATGAAGATTGTGGTCAAGGGGGCTCTGAAATCATGCATAAAGGACAAATTCAGCACATCTGCACCAAGCTGCACTGATCAGCTTATTTTATGTTTTCTACGTGCCTGTATTTTTAAAAATCAATTTTCTGCTTGTTTCAAATGAAATTTTAATTGAATATCTTTTATTTTTATAAAAATTTAGAACTCTATAATATCTAATAATGTGTAATTTATTCTGTTTGACTAAAGTCATTAAACCCATTTAAATTTGTATTAGTTTTATAAGGCTGTTTTCAGGGTATATTAACCAAATGCATGAACACTTGTTTTTAGAAGTGATAAGAAGGCTTATGTTTCTGTCTTTAAAAAGTTTATATTTTGAGAAATCAACAAAAGATTGTCCTATAGAGAGGATCAAATGTTTTTGTTTTTGTTTACAACTATATGAGAAACTTTTTGCTCAGGGCAGTTTCAATGTGAAGTGATGGAAAAGTAAATCTGTGGGGAAGCTGAGGGTTATTACAGGTACCTGGTATAAAACATAAAATCTGAAACACAGCAATTACTCAAATCAATGAATGAATGGATAGATAAATAAATAAATGAATGGGGCCAGGGAGGAAGGTACAGTAATAAGTATTTTGATTATATGAAGTTGATTTGTGATCCAGCTATTTTATTACTATCAGCAAGAAATTCTCTTATTGTTTTTCTTTCTGTTGTTTCTTGCATTTCCCATTTAACCAGCTATGTACATGTGATCCAAAGTATATGGTTTGCAGTTGCTGATTATGTATAGGTTTTATATATATATATATATATATATATATATATATATATATATATATATATTGTTTTTTGCTTCCATGTCTTAAATTACTTTTTTCTTTATTTGTAGTCATTCTACACTATGGTTTCAATTATTAAATAGGACAACTAACAAATAATATATTTACAGATATTTGCTCCAAACATTTTTTTAATTATATGTCTTCCTGTGTTACTTTTTGTTGCTTTTGGATAATTGTCCCCTGATTTGAAAATGTTCCAATTATTATTAAAGTAATAATAGTTTTTATTTAATGTATGTAGTATCTGAGCATCATAAAGGGATAATGAAGCATCCAAAGCTGCCTTAGAATCCTAAGAGGAAACAAAGTTCGGTTTGATAAATACTATTTATTTTTACTCTACAAATAGAATGAAGCAGAGTCACATTAAGTAAATAATTTAAATTAAATACATAACACCCTCACTGTGGCCAATTTATTTCCTAATTTTTTTTAAAAAACCATTAAATGTAGTTAGGTTGGGGTAAGCTATTTTAAGCTTTCAGACTGTTGATTTTAGCTGTTATATAGATATATTTTACTAAAAATGTAGAATATAGGTTATAGAACTATTATAAACCATTTATAGACATAATAAGTCTATTATCTGAGTGATTCATACTTTTCCATAAGAATTTGAGAAATTAAAAGAAAATTAAATGTGTTCCATTTATCTACAGGGATCTCTTTTTATCTTTCCTTGAGAAGTATTTTCTACTTCACTTTAAAGCACTCAGAAAGTACTTACTTCCAAACTAAATTTTAACTCTTTTATTTGCTTGTATTATTGAATGGAAACTAAATACTTCATTCTTAAAGGTAACAAACTAGAGCAATTATCACAAGATCCACAACAATTGTGTCTTAGTTCTGAAACTTTCCTATTTTCCTGTTATTCACAATAAGAACTTAACAACAATCTTTAAATGTCAATGGTTTAAAAAAATGCTGAAAACATAGAGTATCTTGTTGTACATAGAATTGCAAAGGTAAATGCATTTTTTTCAAGGACTGCAGATTTGAATGCATTTTCTTATTGGTATGACAAAATTCCACTTCTATTTTATGATGCTAAGAAAGCAGTGTTCATTTATAATAGATAGAATGAAGACTGTCTATTCTCTTTCCCTTGCTCAGTCAACGCTTGTGTTTCAGGAAGCATCCATTCTTCTTCCTTAACACTGAATGTGGATGCTTTTGTCTGAGTGTTGGTGGTGTTTGGAGAAAAGACTTCAGCACAGAGGTGGGCTGGATGGGAAATGGAGATTTCTCTTATCCTCCTCAGTTATGATGATAATTATCACCATCATTATCATCATTATATAGTCATTATTTACCTTATAATGTTTGTGAGTAAAGTGTTTTGGGGGTGAAATGTATGGATAAGAAATACCTTGTTTTAAAGTTTCATAGAGAAAAGAGAAAAATAACCAGAATGAATAATTGGAATTTTGTGATAGTTTCAGAGCTCTTTCTTTCCAGATTGTTCAGTTCCTTTCCTCCCGTGCTAGATAAATGCATGCTATAAACAAATACACTTAGTTTTGTAAAGTTTGGGGGAGGAGATTGTTTGTTTGCTTTCCACAACAAAAACAATAATTCTTGTAGTAATACAGAAGATCACTTAATATAGAAAGAATGGTAAAAGTATTTCTGTGATCAGAGTCATCCAAAAAATGTGATATTGTTGAAGTGTGGGGCACAGAAAGTAGCAGTTTTTACCTAGGACTCTATTTAAGTATGAAATCACCATGTTAAATAATGTCAACGCATTTGCAATTTTATCAAATATTACAAGTAGTCAATGTAACAAATAGTGTATCACTGTCTTCTGATTTTGTCAGCTATTTCTCAAAGCTGAAATTTAGGATCTAAAGTTACCATTGATAAAATACATACACAGTATATACTTATGTACCTATATATGTAATACATAGATATACTAATATGTATGCTTATCAAATTAATCAGTTAAAATTAGAATTTGGTATCCTGCAACATAGATTGTAATTAATGTAACAAAATCATATTTAAATGGGCTGGTTACTAGGGAACTTCTCCCAGAACAACTGTACAGACTATACCTCTTATTTGTAAGATTACAGTGGGATATTAACTCTCCAGTAGAAATTTATTTTTCTGAACTTCCTAATGATAGTGATCTCTACAACTTGTCTAATTTCATACACCCTTTTCAAATAGATAACTGTTATGTTCATGAATTTTAAAAACTAAAAATTATTTTTTCAAATACATTCAGGGAAAGTCATGAAGTCCTTTTCATTTTGTGTTTGGAAGTGGATATACATTTGATCTTGGTTGAAACATGAACTAGATAGATACTGTGATTCTGCTCAGAGTATGTCCAATAAATTATTGAAATAATATGAAGGGCTTATGAAATATACTGTGTTGGCTCTACCATAATGTAATTTCCTAACCATTTTTTTCTGTATAATATGAACATGTCTTATTATTGCTTTCATGTAAAACCTGATCTCCAGAGGCCATTACAAATTTTTATGAGTATTTACGCAGGAGGTTCTATAAAAAAGTATTTTGTACTTTTCTCATCACACTTACCTGCAAACCAGAGAATAACTTTTTTCTAATTTTTTTTCTTATCGTGTCACTTCTGAAGGACTAGGAGTATTTGCTTAAGAGGATGTATCAGAAAGAAATAGAATGTGTGCTATGGAGGGTTATATAATGGTCTTAAACATTTATAGCCCACTGGAACATACATAAGGACATTTAAAGGCAAAATGGTTGCATATAGAACATTAGTGTTTTAATGAGGATAAATGGGTACTTCATACCCATTATTATTATTTGGAGGGCTATTGAATAATGATCGTTGTAAATGATGATTGAATACTCTGCCTGTTGAACATGGTGAAGCTATTTCCTATTTTGGATTCTCTTGTCCATGGTTCCATGTTAATCATATACAACTCTGTAGTTGAAATATTAACATTGATAGTCAATGCGAGGAAATGAGTAGAAGCCTGATTCTCTTCTTGAACTCTTTCAAGAAAAGTGCATTCAATAATAATTATTACTCTTTTAGCAACTAAGATTTTATACCGTTATAATATCATATATCAGGAAGTAGCCATAGACAACTACAAAATATTTACGAAAATCAATTGCAATTAGCCCAAGAACAGGTAAGTTAAAAAAAAAAGTCTAGATAATTCTTTGTTAAGAGAAATCTTATCAAGATTTCACTGAGAAGTGTTTTAGGGTCTGTTTCTTTTAAAAATGGAATTTGTGTATTTGTTTATGACACTGAGAATTTTATTCCCAGATGCTTTGCTGACTAATGTTGACCAGATTGTCCAGGAAACACAGGTGAGATTTTTGTTACCTGTCTCATAATTCAGCACTTAAGTGGCTATTTTTTTATAATAAATTTTTAGATTTTTTGCAAGCTTCTGTAACTTGCCAAAACTTTGTGTTAAAGCTTGTTCAGTGCTCAGTGGTACAAACTGTAGTTCAGTTTGGTTAAATAACATTCCAGTTACTAAATTTAGACATGTTTCTGGTTAACTGAACATTTCTGACTCATACTGTAAGAATAAGGGGAATACTAATGTGACTTTGGAGTCACTCTTATACCCATGCACAATATAATGTGCATTTTTCCAAATATTTCCCAACGTGAAGACAGTAGCTTGTTAATAATGTATTCACTTCTATCCTTGACCTCCACATCCTAATAGGAGCTGAAATGATACATTATACCTCCCTGGAAGTAAAGGAACAGAAGTGTTTCAGTGTTATCCAAAATGAATGAAGCCATTATAAAATGAAGCAAAAGACTACACATGAAATATTCATGTTATTCCTTTTGTCAGCAACTGATTACTCTTCTTTTTTTTTTCCTTTCTGGAAGTTTCAAATGAGTATTTGATTCCTGCATTTTAATTGGATCAGAAAGTGTGTTTCCAGAGCAGAATAGCACTTTAGCAATCTGTTCAAACAGCTGGAAGCATCAGCCATTTGCTTAAGGTTTGGCACAGAAAAAATATTCTGCTTTTTAAAGTTCTAAAAAAGGCCACTGATTTATTTTTTAGTGGTAAAAATAAGGTCTCTTTTTTTTTTAACATTTTGTATTTAAAAGATAATAACTTGAACAATCATTCAGGGTTTCCCCTAATGAATTCCACTCCCAAATTAAACTTAGTGTCTTTCATGCATCATATCTTTGACTTCAGGATCTCAATCCCACGTTGCAAAAAAATAAACAGATGGCTCACTAGAAACAATCAATAGCCCAGTGTCTGGCACATACTTTGTGTTCTGTTTTGTGTGTAGAACTGACCTGCATGAGGCTGCATTGTTTCATCACCACCCAGTGATTCCCTTTCTCACTCTGAACTTCTCTCTGTTTCCTTCTCTCTCCTTCTGCCTTCTTTCCTCTCTCTCTCTCTCTCTAATTTCTAAAAGTTCATTTATCATGTAATTCTGGGCCTCTAGCTCTTCTGAAAGTGAGTAGCTTTAGAAAGGCATTAGAAAGTAAATGGTTAATCTATAAGAAGCACAGTTCAGAACGCACCGTTTTATCAAGAATTAGAAGCAGGAGAGTCAATCTAAGGCATTTTTCAATTATTAATTAAAGTATCCTGAGACTTCAGTGTAGCTACTATTGGTGCTTGGTAAATGATTTCTGCCTTCATAGGCCTGTCATTTCCACAGCTGTCAATGCAACCAGTGAAGCCCCTTCCAAGAGAGAGGGCCCCCTAGTCTTGTGGCCGCTCCCACTGCCCTAGTACTTTGCCTGCGAGAGAATGGAGTGAGGAAGAGCTGGCAGAGATTTCTTGTGCTCACAAATTCCTGGCTCTATTTTAGGAGGAAGAAGGGATATACATTTTTATCCTAACTTTACTTTTTTAAAGATTGTATTTATTTATTTGACAGAGAGAGCGAGCACAAGCAGGAGGAGTGGGATGCAGAGGGAGAGGGAGAAGCAGGCTCCCTGCTCAGTTCCTATGTGGGGCTCAATCCCAGGAGCCTAGGATCCTGACCTGAGCCGAAGGCAGACGCTCACCAATTGAGCCACCCAGGCGCCCCTTATTTTAAGTTTGTATTTCCTGCAGGATGGTAACAAATGTTGTTTACTACCCAAAGGCAAAACATATTTTCCAAAATTTTGAACACTGCCCATTGCATTAAATTGAAATTAAAATGCTACCTATGCATACATACAGTAAAAGTAAGAAAAATTTGTGGCACTGGGGTGGCTCAGTCAGTTAAGCATCCTACTACTGGTTTTGGCTCTGGTCATGATCTCAGGGTCTTTGGATGGAGCCCCGCCTCACAGGGAATTTGCCTGTCCCTCTCCATTCCTCTCTGGCCCTTCCCCTGCTCTCTCTCTCTCTCTCTCTCTCTCTCAAATAAATAAATAAATAAATAAATAAATAAAACAAATTTCAAAAAGTAAGCAAAAAACAAACACAGAACATCTTACAACGCATTTTTGTTTTTAATATAAAAAATGTTTCCATGGCAATATTATTAAATTAATTGTGCCATAGTCCTTAATATAACATTAAACTCTAATGGGAAGATACACAGAAGACAGAGGGTTTCCTTCGATCAGTGGCGTAGGTGTTCCTCATACTGATGTATCTACTAAGATTATTTTTTTCCTAAGGATGAAGAATTAATACATTTATTTATTTTCCATTAGCCAGAATATGCCATATGCCAATTTTTTTTCCTTAAGATCTTTCGTAAATGTGAATAGATTGAACTTAAAATATTTAATATATCATATATGATCCTTTTATAATAAAATTATAAAATCCTAATCACAGATGAATTCAGAGCAAAGACAAGAGGAATCATTGATAAAACTGGTGGTAATTACATGTAAACTGGCACTTACAAATAAGTTCAAATCTTAAGTTCAAAAAGATTGTTATACTTAAAATAAACCCGGTAAAATAATTGACATGCCATGTTTATAAGTTAAAATATGAACAAATGACTAGTTGAATTTTTTTTATTTATTAGAGAAGGGCAGGGATCCCTGGGTGGCGCAGCGGTTTGGCGCCTGCCTTTGGCCCAGGGCGCGATCCTGGAGACCCGGGATCGAGTCCCACATCGGGCTCCCGGTGCATGGAGCCTGCTTCTCCCTCTGCCTGTGTCTCTGCCTCTCTCTCTCTCTCTCTGTGGGACTATCATAAATAAATAAAAATTAAAAAAAAATTATTAGAGAAGGGCAGAGGAACAGGGAGAGAATCTTAAGCAGACTCCACGATGAGCACAGAGCCTGACAGGACCTCTGTCTCACAACCCTAAGAATATGATCTAAATCAAAATTAAGAGTTCGACACTTAACCAACAGAGCCACCTAGCTGCCCCTGACTAGTTGCATTTATACCAAAAGTGCCTCAAGTAAAGTTTCTTAAAAAGTATTTGTTATATTCAGACCAACAAAATATGTGTACTGTGTGTGCGTAAGTATGCTCAAGAAATATCCCTTATTCTGCAATCGCTTGCACTAGCCTTTAAGATAGTAGCTTCCTGATTCTAATAAACTGACTTCCGATTATATCTGTTTAGTATCAATTAAGGTATTTAACAAATTTAAACTTCGTCATAAAATCTCTGCTACAGGTGCAATAACCATAAAAAGAGAACTTCTTTTAGAGAAACAATTAAGGTATAAATGAATAAAAGTAAGCTGATTAGAAAGAAACAGCAACATTTAACACAGGATTAGGAAAAAACATGAAATAAGAGCTAAACAGCAAAGCAAATGTTTCTTTCTAATATTATCTTTCTAATATTATTTCCTAGTAAAAATGATCATAAAATATTTGGTTCTAGAGCTTTAGTGGGGTTTTTTCTATGATATTCCCTTCAAGTGAAATTGTTAAAAATAAGAGCGATAGAATAGGCACATATGCACATATGTAGAAAACTTTTAACTTTTTTATAATAACTAAAGCTCATTTTTGACATTTACTTGACCATCACAGTAAATCAAAAAACTAGCATCCTAGTATCAGCAATGACTTTCAGAATCATTTTCTTCTTTTTTAGATATCCTAATTATACAAGATAAAAAACATTCATAGTTCTTAATTGCATTCAGAGTAGGGCACTAACATTTTCCCACAATCCATTCAACATCGGGACATTTTTTCTTCTTTTAATATTGGGGTAGTTTTAATTTCCTCTTCTCTTTGTAGTACTGTTAATAAGACTGTCTGCCCACAGTATTTTGCAGGATACCCTTTCACTTTTAAGTAAGGACCATTATCAAAACATCCTGAACCTATCTCAAATTCATTATTTTTAGTTATTGAAACATTTTAGCATAATTATTATAGTCTTTTTTTTCCTTTGTGATCTCTTATAATTTTGTGTTCATATTTAGATCTTTATGGAATCATTGTAAGAGTTTGTCCTTTGATAAGTAAAGTAAATTTGTTATTTTCAGTATCCTACATTCTAAGTTTTTATTCAGCTTCATATTATGTCATAGTTTCAATAATAGTATCTTCAGGGCAGGCAAATTCAAACCATAATTTCTAAAGCTGATTGCTAATTGTCTAATCTTTGAAATTAGCAGCTTTTATAAAAGCCATACAAAAAAAAAAGCCATAATCCCATAGTTTGTTAATGATTTTTTTATGTAATGTGGAAATGAATCAAAAACTCTTTAAAATATGTAAGCTTATGCAATCATTAACTTGATTTTTTTTTAATTTATGAGAGAGCTAGAAAGAACATGAGCAGAGAGAGGGGCAAAGGGAGCAGATTCCTGCTGAGGAGGGAGCCCGACCTGAGCTGAAGGCAGATGCTCAGCTGACTGAGCCACCTAGTGCCCCTCGTTAACGATATTAAAATAGGTTTTTATTCAGGAAAAATTTATTATTTCTAAAATCAAAGTAGTTATACTGTCCACTATATTTTTCTTCTATGTGTATTTAATCTTTTCTATATATTATTGTTTCCTGAAACTTGAAGTTTGGTATAATACACTATCTTTTTTTTATCAAAAGGAACATATTATTGGAAATGCAAACAGAAATAAACCATTATAATCCAATCTCACCAAAGATCAGCTATGCTTTGAACCCAGTAGATAGGAATTTAGATATACCTCGTCTTTTAAGGTGATTTTGTGACTTTTTCTTAGAACACTCCAGGTAAAGAATGATAGTGAGATCTGTAGTTCAGTCATTTCCAAGGTAATTATTTTTTTATAAATAGGTTACACATCTATTATCTATTAACAGTTTTCAAACATTGTATAAACCTTTTGTTCAATAATTTTTAAAAACTATTGTTTGTACCAAAAATAACTTCAACTATTCAGATGAAATATTCCCCCTCAGCTTTTTAAAATATTTTATTTTTAGGTAACCTCTACACCCAATGTGGGACTCAAACCCAGAATCTGAGATCAAGTGTCACACACTCTACTTACTGTGCAAGCCAACTCGTAAATATAGTTCCTTTTTTTTAAATTTTTTTAATATAGTTTCTTTTAATGGGAAGAGACAAAAATGATTTCTTCAAATTTATGAAATCATATATTTCTCAAAATTTTTTTTCATCTCTATTCAAGATAGAATTTATAGACATATCTTAAGTCTATGATGCTGAGAATCCACATTAGAAGAAGAGTATTTTTACCGTTTGATATTTAAAAATTTTAAATGGTTTTTATATCATTTAATTCAAAATCATATTAACTATGGAATACCTTTCTTGTGAGTTATTGTCGGTTTACACATTTATTTGTTCTGTGGGTGAGGAGCTAATTTATGAAGAGGAATAATAGTCTTCACTGATGTTTAATGTATAATTAATTTTTAAAAATTTCATTATGATACCAAATTCCCAACAGACTATATTTAGAAGTTAGAGATCACTTAGATTTTAGATATGATGAGCAAATTTAGTCTAATATGTTCAAAGTTTTAAAAACCACTATGATTATTTGTTAAAATTTAAATGGCATGCATTAATGAATAAAATCATTACTTTTTTCTTAACTTGAGAATATAAATGTGAAAAACAAAGCAAGGGAAAATGCCATTCCACAATTTGGCTTTGACGCACATAACTATTTAGGCTTAATGCACTTAGGTTCCTTTTTAAAATGAAATCCTTTCATACATTCACAATTTGAAATTACTAAGCAACATTTTAAAAGCCTATGTGCATGTCTAGATAGTTTTTAGGTGTGTATTTTGTATTTTATAGCAATAAACCTCTGCCTGGGTGCTTATAGTTCAGTGACTCTAAATTACTAGCACAATGATCTTATTGCCTATGTATTTTCTCTTTGTTTCTTTTTCTTTTTCTTTTTCTTTTTCTTTCTTTCTTTCTTTCTTTCTTTCTTTCTTTCTTTCTTTCTTTCTTTCTTCTTTCTTCTTTCTTTCTTCCTTTCTTTCTTTTCTTTCTTTTTTTTTTCCTTCCATTTCAGAGGCTGGAGTTAATCTGAAGAGCACTACTTTCTCTCCTGAAAAAAGTTGCCACTGATATTTTTACTGGATAAAATTTAAAAAATGTTTCAATTCACAAAGGCTAATTGTTGAACTGGTGTCCTAGAAGAAATTGTCCACTGGAGCTGAAGCAGAAGTCTCTGATGCTGGTGGAACTGGCTCTTTCAGACCAGACCATGGTTCATCCCCTTTTAAAGCCAAATTTTTTTTTTCGTCTGGCCTACAAGTTTTTTGTTTTTTGTTTTTTGTTTGTTTGTTTGTTTGTTTTTTTTAAAGAAGGAAACAGAAAAGCCGACATTGGCATCGAGTTCTGTATCAATCCATGTTACATTGCCATCCATGATTTAAGACTGTAGAATCTTGAATAATCTATATCACTTTAACAAATAAATGTTTTACTATGACAGAATTTGTACAGTGCCTGATTTGTGGAAATATCAATTACTTCAAGTATGAATGGTGAAATAATGACTATAAGAACTAATAATACTATTTTACATTTATGTAATGCAAACCTTAAGGAATCAACTTTGCTTTATAATGCTGGAACTATTTCTGCCATTACCGAAGTGCACCCACATCTGTGGGAGAGCAGTGCAGCTATTTTAAAAGCTTTATAGCAATTTTGTGGCTCAGTGTAAGATAGAAAGTGATGAGGGATCTCATCACTTCAGAACTTCAGAAAGCATCAAAGTGGGTATATATATGGTAATTAGTCCAAATCCATTGCTTTTCTGGAGAGCCAGAATGAAGAGGTTTTAATAATTTTAGGCCTTCTATTTTATTGTAAGTGCCCATTTTATTAATTTTGCACAATTCCAGGATAAATAAGGAAGAACAGACATCTGATTTAATACCAGCATAAATAGGAGTAAGAAATCTTTTGTGGCTAATAAATGTTAATACAACCATAGTTAGTATCCAAGCTTCACATTTAAGTCTGGCCCTGGTAACAAGCAGGCCTGAGTTCTAGATCTGAACATATTTGGCCAGTTACCCACTCTTCCATATTTTCACAGGAGAAATATTGTAAAATTTGAAAATGTATGTAAACTTACCTCTGTACTTGGTGTAAACAATAAGTTTAAGTTAAAAATAGTATCAGCATTGCCATTGGCAATTAAATTCAGATTCTGTAAAACATTAGAGATTTTATTTCTGTTCCTTTACAATTCTGTTAGATCATTAAAAGCAGTATGTAGTTTAATTTTTTTTTTAAAGCTAGGAAACTGTCTTTTAAGAAATTCAGCTTATATGTTAGCCATTCCATGTCTTTTAGACTATTATAAATATCCAACCATCCCAAAGAGAGTTTATAGAATGTTAGCCTTTAGATGGCACTTGGAATCTGCTCAGAGCCTAACTAAACAATTTAAAGAGTATCACACACACACACACACACACACACACACACACACTCAACTTCCAGACACACAATCACACGATGCATGCTTGAAACAGAAGAAACAATTTTGAGTTGAAATGTAGTTAATTTGTGACTCTGAGCAAATGGCTTCATTCTCTGTTTCCTGACAACTCTAATGTCCTAGAGCCATCTGTGTGTGTGTGTGTGTGTGTACGTGTATATATGCATGGATAAATGTTTATGGTGACAAAGATTCAACTTGAGCAGTGCATCTGCAGATCTATTCTTGTTGTATACAACTTTTCTCCTCAAATATAAAGTGTCAGGAACACAAACGACTTTCCTGGATCTCAGTGCAGAGTGTAACTTTTTAAAGTCTGGGGAAAACCTGCTAACTTTTCGTTAAGAACATTCTCCTGTTTTATTTCTTCCACTCCCTTGGGCCTGATTCTTTTCTGTTTTGAAATTTTTCTTGATGATAATGTGGCCTGACATCTTCACCTCTTTAGGATGTTCACACTATTGTGTTACAAGGAACATAATTTTTCATGTAATTCTAGTGTGTTAGAATTAAGATTACACCTAATCATTTCAAATCTTCACTGTGCATCCCCTAAATCTAAAACTTCCCCTTATACACACATTCAAACAACATTAATCAGGCACTCACAGTGTACATAGTTTCTCTTGTTGAAACGTTGTTCATCAGGAAGACTGAGGCGCAGTCTCTGATTCTGTAAGTGTGCACTACTCAGTTGTTTATGGACAGATAAATATCTGTATTTCTTATACTATGAGATTGAGAGAACACAAGTGTGTGCCTATAACTAAATAGTAATGCTTATCACAAAATAAGTTTTGCAAAAAAAGCAATGAAATATTTTGAAGATAATAATGATTTCTTGAGCTGAGCTTATGTTGTCACAGGACAGTGATTTAATGGATGTAAAATGTCTCAAATATAAAGTTATTAATATGAACTGGAAACCACTTCCATTTTCCTGTTATTCTACTATCTTGAGTAATATTGAAGTAACCCAGCTGCTAAAAATATGTATTGTAATAAGTATGAATATTTACAGTTCAACTTGTGACATAAATTATACATGATATAAATTACATCAAACACACAAGAAAATCAAAAGAGGTATGAATGCAGCACAGAAGTTTGTGAGACATGAAAATGGCTTGAAAACGGTAGTTTATATTTTGAAAATCTACAGTCATGATTTTTGAAACCCATGATCTGTAGAACAGAAGATTAGTAATAAAGCACTATTGTTGGTTTTGAAAGGAGTAACTTACACATGAAAAGGAAAACTCAAATAATTTAAATTTTCCTCTTTATAATTTAATAGCTCTAAGATTAGTATTACAAGTTTTTGTTTTTTGCTCAATTATATAATTCCCCATTTCATATTTATAGAATATTTTCTAACAAATTCTTGGTTTTGTCCAAAATATATTCAGATTATTTCTACTTTTACTCTGCTTTTCATACATTAAAACTTATTCCTTTTTTATTTCCAAAATGTACTTATACTGACATCTCATAGATCTGTTTATGAGTAGTGTGTGGTGCATGTGTGTGTACATGTGTCTATCAAGGCATATGTAATTATTTAAAAATGCAAATGATGCAGAATGTAGTATGTACAACCAAAGTAAAAGGCCCTAGCACATGATTGTTTTATTTAACATACAAATATATAAGGAAACTAACCATGTTAGATTTTTTATAAAAGCATTTTTTAATTGTGGAAAATATATATGACATGAAATTTGACGTTTTAACCATTTTAAATGTAGAATTCAATGACATTAATTATGTGTAATCATCCCCACTATTTAAAAAACATTCTTATTACCCATATACAGGATCTGTAGCTATTAAGCAATAATACCCATTTCCTTTCTCTCAGTCCCTGGTAAACTATAATCAACTTTCTCTATGAATTTGCTTTTTCTAGATTTTTCATACCAGTAGGATCATACAATATTTGTCTTTTTGTGTCTGACTTATTCCATTTACTGTCATGTTTCCAAGGTTTATCAATGTTGAAGCGTATATCAGAAATTTTTATGGCTGAATAATATTCCAGGAATTTATGTAGCACATTTTGTTTATCAATTCATCTTTTGATAGACACTTATGTTGTTTCCACCTTTTGGGCACTGTGATTACTGCGACAATGAACATTGTATTTAAGTAAATATTTGAGTTTCAGTCTTCAATTCTTTTTTTTTTTAAGATTTTATTACTTATTCATGAGAGACACACACACACACAGAGAGAGAGAGAGAGAGAGAGGCAGAGACAGAGGCAGAAGGAGAAGCAGGCTCCATGGAGGGAGCCTGATGTGGGACTCGATCCTTGGGACCATGGAATCATGCCTTGAGCCAAAGGCAGATGCTCAACCACTAAGCCCCTCAGGTGTCCCCAGTTTTCAATTCTTTAAACTATATTCTTAGGAGTGGAATTGCTAGGCGGGTCATAGGGTAATTTTATGTTGACTCTTTTGAAGAACTGCAGACTATTTTCTATTGTGGCCATGACATTTTACAATTATTCCAGTAATGCACAAGTGTGCAAGGGTCCCAATTTCTCCATATTTATAATTCTCAAATTTTTAAGAGTCATTTTAGTAGGAGTGGATTATCTCATTGATATTGATTTACATTTCCCTAGAGCTTTTCATGTGCTTATCAGCCTTTTGCATATCCTCTTTGGAGAAATATCAACTCAAGTTTTTTGGCCTTTTTTTTTTTCTTAGAGAGAGAGCAGAGGGAGGGGCAGAGAGAGAGAAAGAGAAAGAATCCTTAAGTGGACTTCCTGCTGAGTATGGAGCCCATTGTGAACTTGATTCCAGGACCCTGATTTGTGACCTGAACTGAAATAAAGAGTCAGATGATTAACTGATTGAGCCACCCAGGCCCCCCTTCTTTGCACATTTTTAAACTGGATTGCCTGTTGTTTTTTGTTTTGTTTTGTTTTGTTTTGTTTTGTTTTGTTTTGACATGATAGCCTTTGCTTTTAATTTGGTTGATACACATTTGACAAAATAGTTTAGAACAAAAATAATCAACAAACAGGCACAAAGTATTTACAGTTAACAACTGTGGAAAACATACAACTGACATACTCTCAAACAGAAATGTCTACTTAAAAAATTTTCTACTGTGAATCTGGAAGACTCTCAGGTCTTGTCCTTAGTTGTTTCCTTCTGAGGATTGCCTGTTGATATTGAGTTGAAGACATTCTTAATATCTCTGGATATTAAACCCTTCTCAGATATACAATATTGCTATTAATGTCTTCCATTCTGTAGGTCTTTTCAGTTTCTTGATCTTATATCCTTTGATGAACAAAAATATTTAATCTTTATGAAGTCCTATTATGTATTTTTCTATGTGTGTGCTTTTAGTGTCCTAAGAATTCATTGTCCAATCCAAGGTCACCAAAATTTATCTCTATGTATTTCCCTAAGAGCTTTATGGCTTTACCTCTTACATTTAGGGTATTCATCCATTTTGAGTAAATTTTTGTATGTTTTTTGAGGTAAAACTGCAACTTTATTCCTACAGATGTAGAAATCCATTTGTCCCCACACCATCTGTAGAAAAACTATTTTTTCCCTGTTGAATGGATTTGACAAGCTTGTCAATAATCAATTGACAAAAGATGTGTTTATTTCTATTCTATTGGTCTATATGTATATCTTTATGTCAGTACCCACAATGTTTCGATCACTGTAGCTTTCTTTGTAAGTTTTGAAACCAGAAGTGTGAGTTCTTTTTGTTCTTTTTTGAGATGGTTTGGCTACTCTGGGCTCCTTGTAATTCCAAATGAATTGTGAGATTGGCTTTTCCACTTCTGCAAAACAGCAATTGGAATTTTGATAGGAATTGCATTGAACCTATAGATCTATTGGGTAGTACTGATCAAAACAATATTAAGTCTTTCAATCCATGACCACGAAATGTCTTTTCTTTTGTTTGTGTCTTTTTTAATTTCCTT